CTCTCTCTCTCTCTCTCTCTCTCTCTCTCTCTCTCTCTCTCTCTCTCACACACACACACACACACACACACACGCCTCCCCAATTATTCTTTTCATGCACGCATCTGCATACAAATAGGGCTCCCTCCGCACACTCGGTGCCACTTGAGGCTGTCGGGAGAAAACCAGAATCCGTCTTTACGGTGCCCCATCAGGACATCCTGCCTCCTTCATTCCTCCTCCCCCTGCTCCCTCCCCCCAGCCCCCCAGCCCCCCAAACACACCCACCCCCACCCCTCCCCAGATGCCCACGCCGAGCCAACCCCATCCCTTGCCCCCCCCCCATAACAAATTAGAAATGTGAGAACTCTCCTTGTTGATCAAAACATAAATTATTCTTCGTAGACAGGGCACCCACGGGCTCCGGAGAGGGTAATTGGTGCCACCTCCAATTCCTTAAAAGGTGAATATCGTAATTGGAAAAGAGGTGTGAGAGGCTCACTCGGCCTCGGAGGAGAAAGGCGGGTGGGGGGTGGCATGAAAGCGTTCATTTTCGCAGCTTGGGAGATGACTATGGCCGTGTTATGGATTCTAATTATCAACACAGCGGGGAAGGGAGGGGACGTCTTGGCTTCGTCCCGGTCTGGGAATCCTTAGTTACCCCCATTGTTCTCCCTGACGGTGATGCTCAGCTGCTGAAGAGGGTGTGTGTGTGTGTGTGTGTGGAGGAAAGCCTGTTGGAATTCTTGCTTTGGGGGGTGTTAGGGGCTTGGGCGCCATCCTTATTCGTTCCCCCAGCTTGGGATATTTTAAAATTATTGTGTATTGACGCTGTTTAAGAACCGTCCAGCTTCCCTCGCGGTAAGGATTCTGCGTGGTGTACAATACAGTCTTAAAAGGCATAAAAAAAATATGTATCACTGAACGGCCAAAATGGAGCCCAAAGTTAATGAGCTCACAGAACAGTCGTCGTCGTCCTCCTCCTCCTCCTCCTCCTCTTCTCCAACACTCCACAAACCCCATTCCCTTGTAGCACTGATGGTGTTACCTAGTCGGGTAATAAAACGTCTGCAAGAAAACCACCAAGCTCAGAGAACACTAAGGACTACAGTCCTCCTCCTCCTCCTCCTCCTCCTCCTCCTCCTCCTCCTCTTCTCCACCACTCCACAAACCCCATTCCCTTGTAGCACTGATGGTGTTACCTGGTCGGGTAATAAAAACGTCTTCAAGAAAAACCACCAGTTCAGACCGCATCAAGGATCCCAAAATCTTCCTTCTCCTCCCCGCCAACCCCACTCCCTTCCAGCACTGATGATGTTACCTAGTTGGGTAACGAAACATCTGCAAGAAAAACCACCAAGCTCCAGAGAGCACCAAGGATCCCCGTAGCAAAATTTTGCTAGATCAGTCAGGGAATTGCTAAGAGCTGCCAAGAAAAATCTGGGGGTGGGATATTAAAAATGTAGGTAGGCAGTGGGCCAGGCAAGAAAATAGAGGAGACGGATTTTTGAAAATAAGAGGAGAAGGATATTTTGAGGGAGAAGGATTTTGCAGGTTAGAGCGCCAGGAGCCCCAGTGGATTTGCATCACATCAGGTTTAGTTCAAAAACTTGTCCCAGAGGCAATAACCAATGGCTCTCTTCAGGGAGTCGAACATCCAGGTGTTCATATCAAAATGGTTGTCCTCCTTTGGGAGATGCACCTGAAGGCAGGACACAAAAAACAATGGATGGAAAAAGAGAGAAGCAGCCTAGAAATAAGGGGAACTTCCCTGATCGAGAGAAGAATTAACCCGTGGAACAACCTGCCTCTAGAAGTTGTGGGTTCTCCCACACTGGAGGTTTTCAAGAAGCGATTGGACATCCATTTGTCTGGAACGGTATAGGGTTTCCTGCCTAAGCAGGGGGGGTTGGACTAGAAGACCTCCAAGGTCCCTTCCAACTCTTTAATCCTGAGATGGACAGATTCCCATCTGGTCTGGTGAGCTGGGAGCGGGGTTGGCTTTTCATAAACAAGCGAACCCACACGCTTTTTGTGTGCTTATATAACCAGCAAACCCACCGTGTTTTGGTGTTTTGGTTCCCTTTTTCCTTCCCTTCCTGCAAATGTTGGTTTAAGCTGCTGTTTCAAGACGGCAATGATGGCTCATCCGCTTTACTCTGTTTTGTGTGTGTGTGTTAGTGTGTGTGTGTTTGTGTTAATGCCCGAAAGGCAAACGGAGTTGGAGAGGGAGGGACTCCGATGACAGAGAAAGAGAGAGGGAGAGGGAGGGAGAGAAACGTGTGGATTCATGAACAGGCTTCATCATGTTCCACTTATCCGCCGCGCCGCCTCGACGAAATTCGGCAGATGGATGCTTGGTCATGCCGTCGGCGCAGAGGGGTTAACTCCTCGGATTTAGCTTTCCGTCGTTTTCACGAGAGCGTTGACAACACTTTTGCCGTGTTTATTCCCAGATGTGCCTGCTCCGGCCCAGCGGCTTCCCCGAGCCCTGAGCTTTGGCGGGGGGGGGGAGGGGGAGGAAGGAGAACGTCGGATAAAACAGCGCACCTTTCTGGTCGGAGTGCGCATCAAATATTCATGGATATCCCGATTTGCACATTGGGGTTGATGAATGGGCCTGATGCGGACTTGGGGATGCAGGAGAAACGGCTGTTTTGCCGGGGAAATTTGTGTCACTTTCCCCTCCTTGTGTGTGCGTGTTTGTGTGTGTGTGTGTGTGTGTATACATATATATATATATATACATACACACACACACACACACACACACACATATGGGATCCTTGACTTATGACCACAATAGATTTTTGCAGCTTAAGCAAGAGAGTTAGTTGCTTGAGGGAATTGCCCTCCATTTTAGCACCTTTCATGCCACAGTGGTTAAGCCGGTCCCTGCGGTCGTTAAGCAAATCATGCAGTCATTAAGCGAATCATGCAGTCATTAAGTGAATCGGATTCCCCCCCCCCAATTGGGTTCCATTTGTCAGGTCGTCTTCAACTTGTGGCCACAATTGAGACCGGAATTTGTGTGAGACATTTGTTCAGTGAGTTTTGCTCCGTTTTACGACTCCCGTCGCCCCCATTGCTGGCGTTGTTCAATGAGCCACACGGTGCTTTAAGTGAATCTGGCTTCCCCGTTGTCTTTGCTGGCCAGAAGGTCGCTAAAGGGGACTCCAGGACCCTGAAACCGTCATACCTACGAAACAGTTGACAAGCATCTGAATTTTGATCCTAAACAGGGTGGTCGGTGGGCCGTAAATTACACGAGGCAGAGCTGACTTCCTTTGGATCCATGCCGACATATTGCTCCTAATAAATAACTGGGTGTCTTTTGATGCTGGGCTCACAGTTTCATTAAGGCGTCTGTTGGAACCCTGACAGCAACGGTGTGAAAAACGGTGATATAAGGTCACCTGTTTCAGTGCCGTTGTAACTCTGGATGGTCACTAAACGAACGGTTATAAGTCGAGGACGCCTGGAATATGGAGGTGCCGTTCTTCTCAAACAAAATGAAATTCAGCAGTGCTGACTTAAGCAAGTTGCAGGCACGGAAGACCTTTGAAACTCCGGTCTCCCTGGAATGGAACTGGCGCCATTAAAAGCACATTTCATTCCTTTCTGGTTCAGCGTGTGGGGCAAACGTAGAAAAAAAAAAGTAGCTGATTCGGAGATCAGGCCAAGCGTTGGGGCAAACGTAAAATTGGTTGGGGGCTCACTCCAGGGCAGAGGCCCCCCAACCTTTAGGGCACCAGGGACTGGTTCCGTGGAGAGAGGTTTTTCCCGTGGACCGGAGGAGACGTGGTTTTGTGTGCTGCTTGCATCTTACACATGGAGCTTTGCTTGTTTGTGCAGATCAGTGGCAGTCCAAAACCCCAGGGTTCTAGAGGATTGGAGGTTAAAACATATGAAGAAGGGTTGCTGAAACTGGGTATGTCTAGTTTGATGAAAAGAAGGACTAAGGGGTGACAGGATAGCAGTCTTCCAATATTTGAGGGGCTGCCCCAAAGAAGAGGGAGTCAAGCTACTCTCCAAAGCACCTGAAGGAAGGACAAGAAGCAACGGATGGAAACTAACCAAGGAGAGAAGCAACCTAGAACTAAGGAGAAATTTTCTGAAAGTGAGAACAATTAATCAGTGGAACAACTTGCCTCCAGAAATTGTGCTCCAACACTAGAGGATTTTAAGAAGACATTGGACATCCATTTGTCTATGGTATAGGCTTTCCTGCCTAAGCACGGGACTAGAAGACCTCCAAGGTCCCTTCCATCTCTGCTATTCTGCTATAGGTCATCTAAAATTTAGATGACCCTCTGCTAAATATATATATATATGAATAATGTCCTTATCACCCTTGCAATATTGGGGAGCAGGAGTGGCCGTGGGAACAGGAACTAGCTATGTTTAGCCTAATGAAACGAAGGACTAAGGGGGACATGAGAGCAGTTTTCCAGTATCTGAGGGGCTGCCCCAAAGAAGAGGGAGTCAAGCTGTTTTCCAAAGCCACCAGAAGGCAGAATAAGAAACAGTCGATGGAAACTAATCAAGGAGAGAAGCAACCTAGAAATAAGGCGAAATTTGAGCACAATTAAACAGTGGAACAACTTGCCTTCAAACGTTGTGATTGCCTCCCTCACTGGAGGTTTTTAAGAAAAAGACTAGAGAGCCATTTGTCTGAAATGGTATTAGAGTTGCTTGCTTGAGCAGAAGGTTGGCTAGAGGACCTCAAAGGTCCCTTCCAACCCTGTTATTATTAAGTAATAGTTGAAAGATTATCAAAAGGAGATCCAACCTAGAACTAAGAAGAAATTTCCAGACACTGAGAACAATTCATCAGTGGAATGACTTCCCTCCGGAAGTTGTGGATGCTCCAACACTGGAAATTTTTAAGAAGAGATTGGACAGCCATTCGTCTGAAATGGTCTAGGGTTTCCTGCCTGAGGGGGGGGGTTGGACTAGTAGACCTCTAAGGGCCCTTCCAACTCTGCTCTTCTGTTAGTTTCTCCAAACTTTTGGACTTTCACTTGGAAATTCATCTCTTTTTCTTCTTCTCCTCCTCCCTGCTTCCTTAGCACCTTTGGAGAGCTGAAGACAGTCCGCCTGCCGAAGAAAATGTTCGGATCGGGAACGCATCGTGGCTTCGGCTTTGTGGATTTCCTGACCAAGCAGGATGCCAAGGTGAGCGAACTCTTCTGCATGCATTCCCCCACCCCCCTTTGATACAGGATGGTCCTTGGCTTGCAACCGCAACTGAGCTCAAAATGTCTGGGGCTAAGCAAGGCGGCTGTGAAATACGTTTTGCCCCAGTTGTTAAGTGAATCCTGCGGCCACATTAGGCGGACTCAGCGAGAGAATTGGATTCACAAAACAACCTCATGGTTCACTTAAAATAATTACAGGGATTTTTTTCTGCACAATCGGGAGGTGCCAAGGCACTTAAAATCGAGCCCGGCTCACTTAAAAAACTTGGGATGCTTAGCAACTGGTTCCTATTTGTGAAGGTTGCAGTATCCAATTGTCGTCTGAGGTCGAGGAGTCGCCGTATGTCTGCACATGTTCTTACAATTTGTGAAATATCCTACCCTAGTATTTTCCCCAAAAGGCAGGCAGCCCCGAGTCTCATCTGCATACTTTACCATATTCATAGCAAATCCAAGATGACCCATTTTTAAAGTATCCTTCCCTCCCGTATAATTACACCATACAGGCGAAGGGAATTTTGAGAGCATCAAACAGCCCTTCAGATATATTTTCCCAATTCCCAACAGGAAGCTGTTTATCGTAGAAACCGTATTTTTATTCTGGGGACTAACAGAAGAGAAATATTCAAGCAAAAACATAATCTTTCTCAGGATGCTGGAATTAAAGAGAGCCATGTCTAATATCTCAGCTCCCAAATAACCAGGATAAAATGTCAATGGAGATCCTCAGTCATCCAGATCATGGTTGTCCCAAAGAGGCTATTTTTTCAAGAGGCCAACTGCACTTCCTTGTTTTTTTCTTTGAAGATGTTTTGCTTCTCATCCAAGCAGCTTCTTCAGCTCTGGGTGGATGATAGTCATTGACCGGCTGTTTGCAAGGAGTATCAATCCTTCCCTTCCCCACCATCCAGTCCAGAGCTGAAGAAGCTTCTTGTATGAGAAGCAAAACATCTTCAAAGAAAAAAACCAGAAAGTCCAATTGGCCTCTTGAAAAAAATAAAAAGCACCTTTGGGACAAGCAGGTTAAAATGTTTCACAGAGCAGCCTTGACCATATATAGACCAGGTTGGTGTCATGCGCAGGAAGTCCCTGACTTATCACCAAAATTAGGGCCAGAATTTCTGATGTTAAAGTAGATGATTAATTGCGTGACACCCAATTTTTATCTCAAGTTTTGATAACAGCTGTTAAGTGAATCAGGAAGTCGTTAAATGAATCTGGCTTCACCCGCTGACTGGCAAATAGCGATCACACGAGCCTGCAACCCTCATAAGTTGTCAAGTGCCCAAATTTTGATCACATGACCGTTGTTGTTGTCCTTTCGACCAAATCAAGGATTAGCCGTAAAAGCATCAAGCCTGCAGGCTTTATCTTAGATACCATTAAACTGTGGTTTGTTTGATTTCGGCTCTTTGTGTTAGTTGGGGCTGAGCTGATGACTTAAACCAACCACTTGTGGGTTTGTTTTTGTTTCTTAAACCCTGGTTTATAGCTTTCTGTGTGATTTGCACAAACCTATTCGACTATGGTTTGTTTAACGAGTGATGTTTCGTGGATCCATCATACCGCACAACCAATTGGCCTATTTTTCTGTAGGTTTTCTCACTTTCATTGAGATTGTAAATTGAAATGCCTCTAAAACTGGGGTTCTTAAATGTTTGGTGTGCCGAGAAAACCCTTTGCGAGTGGTGAAACCCACAGACATCAATTAGGCTGAAAAGAGATAGATAGATAGATAGATAGATAGATAGATAGATAGATAGATAGATAGATAGATAGATA